TCAAATGATTTGTAGACTATAAATAATTATTATGTCAAATATAATAAAATAAATTAGTTATTTCGGTTTCAACAGACAAATCATTTATCGGTGGTTTGAACTGTAATTACAGAATCTGTAGGGTTTTTCTAAAAAAATTAGATTATGTATTATTCTACAATTCTGAAACTATGTGGACTTTACTATAAAGTATAAAAATTAAACCTATTTCCTAAAATTCATAATTTACAAGGAGCTATATGAACAAGCACTACTGACATTAATTGAAATGTGTCTTACATAATACACTACCCGAGAGTCGAGACTAATGAATCACATGCATTGAAGAGGCCATGGTAACAATTTATTACAATTATATACTGACTTGTTTCTGGGGTCGGGTTCGAACCCGATTGGAATCAATATTTCACCTCTTTCTCTCGCTCCGTCTCTCTCTCTCTCTCAAGCTTCCGCTCTTGTCGCCCTTTTCTCCCTCTGTCTTCTCCTCCAAACCCTAGAACCCAATGTCGTCGGGAAAGGAGAAGGTTGTCGGAGATCTGGAATCCCAATCTACGCCGACGACGGACGAGGCATCGACGAGCAGATATCGGGCGAGTAGGTCGCCATTGTCGACGCCGAGGAGACCACCGTTTCCAAGATTGCAACGAGATCGCCTCAGGTATACACTCTTTTGTTACTGGATTGAATTTTCTTCTTCGTTTGGCATCTTGATGATTTTGTATGAATCCACTCGCTCTTGTTGACCTCGGCGACAATCTTGGAAACGGTAATCTCCTCGATGGCGGCAACGTCGACAATGGTGACCTGCTCGCCCGATATCCGCTCGTCGATGCCTCGTCCGTCATCGACGCAGACTGAGACTCCAAATCTCCGACGACCTTCTCTTTTCCCGCGGCATTAGGACTAAGGTTTGGAGGAGAAGACAGAGGGAGAAAAGGGTGACGAGAGCGGGAGTTTGAGAGAGAGCGGGAGAGAGAGACGGAGCGAGAGAAAGAGGTGAAATATTGATTCCAATCGGGTTCGAACCCGACCCCAGAAACAATTTAGTATATAATTGTAATAAATTGTTACCATGGCCTCTTCAATGTATGTGATTCCTTAGCCTCAACTCTCGGGTTATGTATTATGTAAGACACAATTCAATTTATTTATGTCAGTAGTGCTTGTTCATATAGCTCCTTGCAAATTATGAATTTTACAAACTAGGTTCAATTTTTATACTTAAGTTTCAGAATTGCAATTTTCAACTCTCGGGTTATATATTATGTAAGACACATTTCAATTCTCGGGTTATGTATTATGTAAGACACATTTCAATTTTTATACATAGTTTCAGAATTGCAGAAAAATACATAATACAATTTTATATTTTTTT